ATATATGTTTGATAGAGAATGCAATGTGACAGAGAAATGAGGATTGAAAAATATTATAAGGCATATGTCAACCCATTTTCCCCATCATTTTCATTCCTGAATTAAGAATACATAGCAGCAACAGGTGGAGTTACATATTATCCTCAATGATAATTTCCAAATTACCTAGGGATGAGGAAGCATTTTGTCAACAACTGGAGGAAAACAATTTCCTCCTTGCTCTAGAACAAGGCCCAAAGTTTATCGTGATTTGTAAATTGTCTTTAGGATAAGTGTGATGAGAAGTACAAATGATCTTTTGAATATTTTCCAGAGAATACTGAATTTCTCCAAGGTGCAATTTGAAAAATAGCATCGTAGGTAGTCGTTGACTTACAACCATTCATTTAGTATTCACCATTTAAAGCTAGAACTGCAGTGAAAAAAAGTCACAACCTGTCCTTGCACTTAACAACAATCATAGCATTCACACAGTCATGGGATCAAAAGTTGAGTGCTTGATAAATAGAAATTCTGGTCCCAGTTGTGCTTATAAGTCAAGGACTACCTGTATAAAATATTCTGTTTAGTATTATGGTTCATGTATCTCTAGTTTACTAAGTTATATCTCAGACTTCCCCAATTTACTATTCTTGTAATACATTAAACTACATTTTTTCCAAATTTTCAGCCAGCTGGAAGAAAATTTTTGCATTTTGAAACCATATTACTGGACATCTGAAGGGGCATGCTGAGGAATTTGCAGATTTTCTGGAAGATAAAATCACTCGACTGAGTTCCCAGTTAGATACCGGTGTGATTGCTGGTTCAGTGGAAGCCCCTAAGGCAGGTTCTCACCCTGTTATCTGGGAATAGTTTGACCTTGTTGCTCCTGAGGAAGTGGACAGGATCCTAGGGAGTATGCACTCAAGCACCTCTGTTTTAGACCCATGTCCCTCCTGGCTTCCCAGGAGGTACAGGCGGGTGGACTCTGGCGGTGATTAATGCTTCACTACAGGAGGGGGGCAGTGCCCTAGCACTTTAAGGAGGCTTTGGTCCACCCTCTTCTTAAGAAACCATCGCTGGGCTCTACCCGATCGGATAATTTCCGACCTGTCTCCAATCTTCCCTTTTTGGAGAAGGTTGTTGAGAAGGTTGTCGCGCGGCAGCTCCAGAGATTTCTGGATGAAACAGATTATCTCGATCCCTGCCAATCAGGATTCAGGCCGGGGTTTGGGACAGAAATTGCATTGGTCGCACTCTTGGATGATCTCTGACAGGAGCAGGATGAGGTTAGTGCATCCATCCTTGCTCTACTTGACCTCTCGGTGGCTTTCAATACCATCGACCATGTTATTCTCCTGGGGCGGCTTTGGGGGATGGGAGTGGGAGGCCTTGTGCTATTCTGGTTCATTTCTTTCCTCTGCAGCCGCTCTCAGTCAGTGTTGATAGGAGGGGAGAGAGACAGCCGTCATGGTTGGATCGCTCCTGCTTTACTGTGTTCCACAGGGCTCAGTACTCTCTCCACTCCTGTTCAACATTTATATGAAGCCACTGGTGAGATCATCCGTCATCATGGACTGAGGTATCACCAATATGTTGATGATACTCAGCTGTATGTCTCGGCCTGTGGTGAGTTAAGTGATACTGTGTCTTCCCTCTTGCAGTGCCTAGAGGCTGTCAGGGGCTGGATGGGGACTGACGGGTTGAAACTAAACCCTTGCAAGACCAAGTGGCTCTGGGCTTGGGGTTCGTTGGCCCAAGGAGAATTGCCGCCTTTGGTCTTGGATGGGGTGGCACTATCCCAAACAGACCCAGTGCATAATCTAGGGGTTTTCCTGGATCCACAACTCCTGCTCGAACAGCAGGTGGCGGTCATGGCCAGGAGGGCCTTTGTGCAACTGTGAGTTGTGCCAGTTATGCCCTTTCCTGGACCAACAGTCCCTACTCACAGTCACTCATGCCCTAGTCACTTCCCATCTTGACTATTGCAATGCGGTCTACATGCCCTTGAAGAGCATCCGGAAACTCCAGTTGGTGCAAAATGTAGTGGCCCTCATGGTTTTGTGCAGACCTCGATGTGCATATGTATCACCTCTCCTGCGAGAGCTGCATTGGTTGCCAATTTGCTTCCGGGTGCAATTCAAGGTGCTGGTTGTCACCTTTAAAGTCCTTCATGTCTTGGGACCAGGTTATCTGAGGGACCATCTCTTGGTAGTCATGTCTACCTGACCCATCAGAGCGGGGAGGCAGAGAATGTTACGGGTCCGATTCCTGAGGGAGATACACCTGGTGGGACTCAGAAGAAAGGCCTTCTCCATGGTGGCTCCCTCTCTCTGGAACATCATTTCCCCAGAGATTAGAATGGCCCCCACTCTAATACTCTTCTGGAAGGCGCTGAAGACCTGGTTCTGCCAGTGGGCCTGGGGAACCCAGAGCGGGATGAAGCCCATTAAATCGTGTGATCTGCTGTCGCCAGGGCAGGGGGTGGCAGGTGATTTTTGTTATATTGTACTATATTAATTTATTTGATTCTTTTTGTTAATTTTTATTGTTTTAAATGTGGTTTTATATTCTGTATGCTGCCTTGAGTCGCCATGGGCAAATAGGCGGCAATATAAATTCAATAAATAAATTAAAAAAAAATCTGTCACCTTCTTAGTTGAAAGAAAAATAGAGCTATCCAGTTGTTTGTTTGTTCTGTCTTAGCTTTGTTGCCTGTAGTTATACATATTTGTTTCTTAACCTCAGCTCTGGGTGAACTTCAACTCCTGGTTGAGGAGTTGAAGTCCATCCATCTTAAAATTGCTGAGATTGAGAAACACACTAAAAACTGTACTCATTTCTCATAGAGAAATTCTATCTATTACTAAGCAGGAAATGATACTGTGGAGTCATCTTGACCCATCTCTTAAACGCATTACAATAATATTCTAGAATAATCAAATAAAATGTCCTAAATAGCAGCTCTACATGACCATTTGCACAAAGCAAGAGAGTAACAGAATGATTATAAGTGGGCAAAAAAGCAGTAGGAGAGCAGTAGGAGAGAACTTCCTGCCAACTTTCCCATTGAATTTCCTTGTGAGAAACTGATAGGGAACATCAGAAATCTTCCTTCCTTTCCTTCTTTCCTTTCCTTTCCTTTCCTTTCCTTTCCTTTCCTTTCCTTTCCTTCCTTCCTTCCTTCCATCCATCCATCCTATAAATCCTATCCTTTTATCCTAGTATGATTTATGTTGATTGCTTATTTAGTATCCTATGACTATCACTGTGTTGTATCTTATGATTTATAATGAATGTACTTTATGATTATTATGATCATGATTTATTACTTGTTGCTCAAGAGCTTATGCATCGGAGACAAATTCCTTGTGTGTCCAATCACACTTGGCCAATAAAGAATCCTATTCTATTCTGTTCTGTTTTGATTTCTACTCTTCTCTGCTTACAGGAAGAAAATCCGTGTGGCAGCCAGCAGGTAGTTGTAAATCCAAGGGCAGCAGGTAAGTAAGCCTGATGCAAGGTGGGTGAGGAAGTGAGTGGTGTATGTCAGGAATAGTACATGGGGATGCATAAGAGTGCCACATGGGCTGGGAAAGGTGTGTGGGTATGCATCAGAAATACTGTACAGGTGGAAAATAGGCCACATAGGTAAGGAAAGGTGCCCTGAGATGTGCTGTACAGGTTGGGTAAGGTATGCAGGAGGGGGCAAGTCAGGAAGAGTGCATGGGGATATGAGGTTGTGTGAGAAGTGCCATGTAAGTCAAGTAGTGTGCATGGAGATAGTGTGTGGCAAATGTCCAGAAGAATGGAATGAGATTGCAAGGGTGTGTCAGGACACAGCAATCCAAGATGATGTAAAGACAGTTGTGTGGATTGGGAAGACTTGCATAGTCTTGGGACTATGCAAGAGGTACTATGCAGGTCAGAGATGGGGTACTAGGATGCTTACTTATGTGGAAGTGTAAATAAGACTGTATCATAGAATCCTCAGAAACTTCTTGACATCTGGCTAACATTTTCAGAGAAAACACACCAGTAATGGGTTTCAATTTTGAACGCTACCAGTTTGCTCGTGGGCGCATAGGTGCTCATGTGCATGTGTGATGCTTCTGCGCATGCGCCGAGTCGTCCGGGTGACGCTGCCACTACCGGTTCGCCCAAACCAGGACGAACTGGTAGAAATCCACTACTGAAACACGCCCCTTGCTATACAATGAGAGTTACAAACTTCTTGCAGTGTAAAAACTTTGTCCACACTTCTATCACTGTTGAATACATGTTTTCCAGAAAGAAAATCTTTCTCTTTGTTACTGCACTCTTGTCAAATCACTGTACAGTGTGTCGCCCAATATTATAGCTTTTCCTTACATCACCCAAACTAATAACCTCTCAGTTCATAAAAGGGTATGGCACACTTTTCAGAATCAGGGTACCCTTTCTCAATTTCGAAGAATAGCCTGGTCATCTCTATCAATAATCTCAAATGTCATGAGGTTTCAACAAGATCTTATAAAGGAATATTGAGATTTTGTGACATTTCATGAGTTTGATATATTTGCTTTCTTTAAAAAAAAGATATTAAATTTTAGGAAATAATAACTACTGTTAACCTTAATTACACAATTATTCACAAATGTTCAATTAGTGTTATTTTCCTCATACTGCTAAAATTCATGAAATAAAAAAGGACTGTTGAATATTTTTGAAATTATTATTAGAAAACTATCCATTTATTACAGGATCCAGGCCATCTTTGGTCTTGGATGGGATGCCCCAGATAGACTCGGAGTGTAATCTGGGGTTTCTTCTGGACTCATGGCTCCTGCTTCAAGGACCAGGTGGCAGTAATGGCCAGGAGGGCCATCTTGAAATGACAAGTTCTTAGAATTTTGCAGTATATTTCTTATATATGTCCACGTGTGTGTGTGTATGTGTGTGTGTATACATATATACACAAAGACACACATATGTGCACACACATACAAATATCTGTTAGAGAATAAAAATAACACATAGTGAAAATATACCTGTATTGAAGAAAATTTCTTACAAAACAAAATTATACAAATTGCAGACAAAAATTTATACAAAAATACATATGAATCTTAATACAATATTTAAAATATATTATCAAATGAATATGGAAATAGATGTACTTAAGTTTAAAAATGGTAGAAATTCAGAGAGAGTAACCTTCTCATTTAAAGATGGGATTACAGTATTTCTATTCCCAATATTCTTGTATCTAATCCTTTAAGGCCAATCTTATGTACATTTTGAAAATAAAAATTAGTAACATTAATGAGCTGTACATGTGATGTACACACGTGGCAAGCGATTACTAGTCTTTTTATTCCTTCCTCCTCCTCCTAATCTCAATCTTGGTTTTCTTCCCTGTTCTTTCCAACCCAAAGGAATATTGGAAAGAAGTTCTTCAAGGAAGTCAGGTCCGGATTTGTCTGCTGTCTCTCCTTTCCCAGCAGGGTATCTCTGAAAATCAAAAAGGAAAAGGGCCACAATTGATATGAAAGAAGTCAGTTAAGCAAAGGTCAAAGTTGGCCAACAATCAGGCTTAAGATTGTGCAGAAAATCATTTTGGAAAAAAAATCTCTCTATTCCAGGGTTGTCAAACTCGCAGTGTCGCAGCAGCATCACATGATGTATCAGGACTTTTTTCCCCTTCCCTAAACCGGGCAGCGGCGGGACGAGCACATTACACATCTAGCCCAGTGATGGGTTCCTCCCAGTTTGGACGAGCCGGTAGCAGTGATGATATGACGTCACCGAACCGGTTCTGCCCCCCTTGCCCACCCGGGTTATTCTTACCTTTTATTTGGCCACACCCCCAATCTATTGCTGCCTCCTGAGTCCCAGCTGATGGCTAGAGGGGAAAAAACTGTTTAAACTCTTGCCGCGGGGCTTCAAAGGGCTGCCCTACAGCTGATCAGTGTTACAAGAAAACAAATGAGTAGACCAGTGCCTGCAAAAATAAATGGGTAGACCCAGTGGTGGGATTCTACTTCAGTAGAACTGGTTGTTAAGTAGTTAAGCAGTTCGGAGAACCTGTTGTTAAAAGAAATCTCCTTTTGTTTTTTTCCACTTTACAAGGTTAATCCTATGATGATTAATTACAACATTTGGTGTTGTTTCCTAGCCTAATCTTTATTGCCTCTCCGGCAGTATGCCTAGACTTACTGTCACTTCTGGTTCCAGAGGCTATTTTTTTGCTTGACTTTCTTAAAGGGGAAGGGTTGTTTTAAGCTTTTTACACCACTGTTGGGAGGAAATACTCCCCTGTTGAAGTTCGTGCAATCATCAGCACTTTGAAGAATTAATTGAATCCTTTTGTGCATATGGACTACTCAGAGGGCTGAAAAAGTTATTTTTGACTGGTCGTCGCACTTTTGACTAGTCCTCGAACTTACGACTGTCCTCGTTTTTACGTTTTTCGCCCTATCTTGTCACCATGGTGAAGAGAAGCAGTTGTGAAATGAGTGACACGGTTGTTAAGAATGCTACAATGGGCTTAAATGATGACCAGTCATAAGTGCGAAGACCGGTCAAAAGTGCGAGGACCTGTCAGAAATCACTTTTTTCAGCCCTCTGGGTAGTCCTTTTGTGCATATGGACTACGCAGAGGGCTAAAAAAGTTATTTTTGACTGGTCCTTGCACTTTTGACCAGTCCTCGAACTTACGACTGTCCTCACATTTTACGTTTTTTGCCCTATCTTGTCACCATGGTGAAGAGAAGCAGTTGTGAAATGAGTGACATGGTTTTTTTTGTTTTTTTTTTAAATTTGATTTATATGCCGCCCTTCTCCGGAGACTCAGGGCGGCTTACAATGCGTTAAGCAATAGCCTTCATTCTTTTGTATATATTTGTATATTTTATACAAAGTCAGCTTATTGCCCCCACAAACTGGGTCCTCATTTCACCCACCTTAGAAAGGATGGAAGGCTGAGTCAACCTTGAGCCTTGGAGAGATTCGAACCAGCAGAAATTGCAGGCAGCTGTGTTAATAACAGGGTGCACTAAACCACTGTACTATCAAGGCTCTTGGTTGTTAAGAATGCTGCACGGGCATAAATGTGAGGATGGTCATAAGTGTGAGGACTAGTCAAAAGTGTGAGGACCTGTCAGAAATGATTTTTTTCAGCCCTCTGAGTAGTCCCTATACACATAGCCATGGCCACCTGGTCACATGACCAGCTAGCCACGCCCATCCAGTCACATGACCTCCAAGCCACGCCCAAAAAATAAGCCATGCCCACAGAACCAATAGCAAAAAAATTTAGAACCCACACCTGATCTGGCCCATGGGCCGCAAGTTTGACACCCCTGCTCTATTCCCATCCCTATCTTGGAAGGTTATTGATTGTTCCATTCTAAGGTTCTGCTTCTTCATTTTTTAGTCACAGAATGCAGAACAGAGCAAATGCAGCCTATGCTATTCTTCCTAACATACAAATACAAACACGAAGGGACAAGTAGTCTTTCTTATCAACGTTCATTCAACGTTATTAATATCCACAGCCTCATGATTGCAATTAGGGAACTTAGCAGCTGGTGCACAAATGGCTGCAGCGTCCTGAAGTCATGGGATCGCCATTTGTGACCTCCACTGCCAGCTTCTGACAAGCAAAGTCAGTGGGGAAACTGACAGGAAATTGCAATTCAGAATCACAGTATATGACATCGCACTTAACATTAATTGCAGTCATTCACTTAATGATATACTGTAGCTAGAATTGATAAACTGCCATCATAAATTGGACATGGTCACATAATTTTTCACTTTATCACTGCATCACTTAGCGATGGAGTTGCTAACCCCAGTTATGGTTGGTAAGTACAGACAGCAGAAAACAACAGAGAGAGAAATGCAATATTTATTTATTAAACCAATTTATATAGCCACTGATCTCACAAACAATTGAATTATGTTCTTTCAATATACAGAAGAAAATTTATATGCCTTTGATGTCCATTGCTTGTAAAGGGGCTAGAAACAATTCCTGAAGCAATGTTTTTCTTGCTTTCCCTACCTCATTATTATTTTTTTTCCAACACAAGAGAATGTTGGAGGGGGAAAAAAGTACAGTAAAGGGTCAATATGTTTCTCAGCAGGATAATTTTCCAAAATTGAAGAGGTCCAAATTTAGCATGGTAGGAAAAGAAAGAAAAAAAAATCAAGATAAAATGAACAGTATCTGGCCCAGGCCAGTACAGGAAAATTTTTCCTTAAAGTCTTCTAATGCAAGGGTCCCCAATCCGCTGGCCCCCAGCAATGGGTCCATGCAAAGTTCAGGATGCAGGCAGCATGCAAAACCACACCCCCTCTGGACCGCAGAAAAACCTGTCTCCATGGAATTGGTCTCTGTTGCCCAAAAGGTTAGAGACCGCTGCTCTAATCTGTTCCTAAGGAAGAAGCAGTAAACCATTGGAGATTTGGAATGTTGACAACTATTGTATTCCATTCTAAATTCTCTTAGAACTTTGTCCTCCCAGTCATGTGACTCAGAGGGGAGGGGATGTAGTGCACATATCCTCCTCAGTGCACACATAGACACAAACCTATGGTTGCTACTGGTAAAGGGATTGGAAACAATTTCGGAAATTATGTTCCCTATGCATTCTCTAAAAAATTTTTAACCACATGTGATCACAAGAATGTACCAGTCATACCTACAATGGAGGACTGGAATGTGAAGATGACAGAATTAGTAGAAGTGGCAAAACTGATCTGCTTAATCAATGATAAAACAATAAGTACTTTTATAAATTGCTGAAAATGGATAAAAATGATTTGATGATTTTATAGATTTGTTGACTGTAAAGAATTAAATATGGGAAGAAGTGAACTATATGAAATAACCTTGGGGTAGAGGGGGAATAAGTTTATTTCTAACTACTCTAAGGAAGACCATAAGTAGTTTCTTTAAATATTTATTCTTTCCCTTTTCTTATTTACTTCCCTTTATCTTTTCACTCTTTCTCAACTTTGCTTTCTACAATTTTCATTTTTTATCTGTTTTTTTAAATCTAATAAAATTATATTAAAAATACTAGATTTAATGTCTAAATTGTAATAAAGTGAACAATCTGACAATATCACATGCCATTCTGCCTTAGAGAACTTACTTTAAGATGCAATATGTCAAAACCTCAGTTATTTCTTTTTGATCTTCAGAAAAGTCAACATTCATTTGACCTATCATTTGAGAAAAAAATATCTTCAGAAGCGTTCTTTCCCCTACTTACCTTATTTCCTAGATTCTATCAGTATTTGATCCTTTTCAGGTTTCAATAAGTCTCATACTGAGTTCAGTGAACTTTACACACTGAGATAACTTTTGGTGAGATGTAGGCTGAACTCTATCTTTGGCTTGCAGTCCTGATTACATGGTCAAACGCTGCGGAGCAAGGGAAAGATAGCAGCCACACCCAAAGGAAAAAAGCCTTTTAGTAACCTGATGAAGTAAAATCACTGCATTTCTTCCTTGAACAGATTATATATCCTTTTTGGTATATATAAAGCATATGGGATTATCTATGACAACTTTCCCCACCAGCTGCCCTCCAGATGGAACATCTGGAATTTTAACGCAGATTGATCAAATGGGGGGATAACTCTAGGTAGTCTAATAAAAAATATTTGTAGTTTAGGGCTGACATGAAGGATCCTTGGTGCTCTCTGAGATTGCTTGTTTTTTTGCAGATGTTTCATTACCCAAACTAGATAACATCATTAATGCTAGTGAAATGTTTGCAAGAAAACAAGTAAGGTCGGAGAGCATCAAGGACCTTTGGGTAGTCTCAAAGTTGATCGTTCAAAAAGCAATTGATCTGTTGTTGTTTTTTTCCTTGAGGAAGAATATGTTTTGCTTCTCATCCAAGAAGCTTCATCAGTTCTGGCAGGATGGTGGGGGCTATAGAGGAATTAGTTCTAACAAAATGGGGAAGGGGGAGATTGTAACCGTTATGATTCTATCAGAACTAATCCCTCCATAGCCCCCACCATGCTATCAGATTCGATGAAGCTTCTTGGATGAGAAACAAAATGTCTTCTCCTTCCTCCTCAAGGAAAAAAAACCAGTCCAGTTGTCTTTTGAAAAAAAACATCTTTGAGACAACTATGACCTGAATGACTGAGAATCTCCACAGACATACTGTAACCTTGGTAGGGAAACAGCATGATCTGGAAGACTGAACTATGCTGCTATATCAGTATTTCCCAAATTCGGCAATTTTCAAGTGTGTGGATCATGCACATCATGTAAACACAGGTATGATTTTTCAACTGTAGTTTATGAGAGAATAACCTTTTCTCTCATGTATTTTAATTTCATAAGCATTTTGTAGGAAGCAGAAAAATCATTCACAACACCAGCAGCCAAATGAAGAATCAAGGCATCTTTCCCTACTGACCAATAATTGTAGAAGTCATATATCCTAACCTTTCAAAAAGGGCTCTGCTCTTTTCAGATCTATATTCCATTGGAAGGCCAGGAGTATACACTGAAGAAACACTAAACTTGACAAAGATGAAGAGAAAGAACATAGCTGTTGTGCTACAGAACAATATTTCATTTGGCGTCTAGATAAATTAAGTGGAAATTATGACAATAGTGAAGAATTTCCTAAGCAATACTCTGCATTGTTTTCATCATGATTATCCTGTATTGGTATTTTAAGCAATCACAAAAAAGGATCTATCTCTCTATCTCTCTATCTCTCTATCTCTCTATCTCTCTATCTCTCTATCTATCTATCCATCCATCCATCCATCCATCCATCCACCCATCACTTATCTGCCTAGCTATTTTATATTTCCTTAGTGAATGGAAACAATTCTGATTACATTTATGGATATTGACTTATAACTTCAGCCTTTTTAAAAAAAAAATAGCTTCAATGCAGATAAAAATGGTAACAGCAGTGATTCAACAACAGGTCTTCTGAGAAACAGGAAGTTCACCCTGCTTTTGGGTTGTACCATTTCAGACTAACCTGACTGAATGGTCCTATACAAAAACACAAATTAAGTACCAGGAAATCTAAGGTGGAGACCCTATTAAATTGAATGGTACAATCTGGACTCAGACCAATTACTTCATTAGGAATAAGAATGCAGCCTCAGGCAAATCTGACAAGTAAAGTCCTTCTTCTACTGTAACTCTCAAGGCAGCTTAAGAAATATTCTTCCATGTACTTTAATTTGACAGCCTAGGCTTAAATAGTTGCCCAAACTGGAGCCAAGGAGGATTATTTTTTCTGCTGAATCCAAATAAGCTTTTGCTTTCTTTGTGCGCCTTTCCCGTAGGCTTTGGCATTTTGGCATGTTACTCAAGAAAAAATGAAGATACTGAGCCCACGGGAACACCTTTTTAAATATATAATAATATATAAAATCTACCAACTTGAGCTTGTAACTAAATGTGAATGATTTAGGTCTATGCAAGTATTCACTCTGCATATGTGAAGCCTTAATGATTGGTGAAGTATCCCACATTCATTACCACTCCAACAATTGTCACCTATCAGTGGGAAAACTTCCATCATTGCCATCCTTAAAGCTGGAGTGGAGACTTTTTCTGACATCTGTCAAAACTCATTCTGATTTCCTGCAATTTTTAAATAGCATAATACTTAAATAGCTCTATCCTGGAAGAGCAATGAATCCATGTTTAGAAGCCTGAGAAACAATTGATTGGCTACAGGGGTTGGCCCACCCAATCAAGTGGGAAACAGTTCTTCACTGCTCTAAGAAATGCCCCTGCCCACATAGTAAACTAGTGGTAAAAATGATATTTTGAAAACACAAGGTTTTTGCTACAAAATGGGAGGATTCAGAAGAGAATTGGGTTAGATTAAAAAGGGTAAAATGTCAGTCACTATCAAGTTCCTTTGATTAATAGTTATCATCTATTGGGACCCCAGAAGTGCATCTCTTCTGTAGCAGTGCAACTTGCCCTCTGGATCTAGAGGGGCCCCATACTGCTGTGAAGACCTGGCTCTTTGCTCAGGCCTTTGGCAGGGGAGACTGAGATACCCACTACATCCTGCCTGCTGAATTTTATCTTTTTTAAAATGTTTCACTGGTTTTTATTTATTTATTATAGTGTTATTATAATTTATTATAATTATTATAATTGTTTTGTTTGATTATTGTGAGCCGCCCAGAATCATTGAGAGTTGGACAGCATATTGGTTTAAATAATAATAATTATTATATCACCATCATGTGTTTATGCTTGTGCCTGCCCCTTTTCACACTTGTTTATTATAGCTGCTCTGATGCCATGCAGGTAGTCCTTGAGTTACAACAATTGGGACCAGATTTTATTAAGTTATGTGGTCATAAAGCAAAGCATGTCAGGGACAAGCAATCAGAACTCATCATGGCCAGGTTTGATCTCAAGATATTTTCTCCCCTGAATGGACTCTAAAATGGCATGTCTCCCTATTTCCCACTGGCAGGGCCTTTTAGCAGTGGTTCCACCACTTTGCACCACTTAGCAATGGCAATTCCTGCAGTTCTGGTTGCTGTTGTTAAGTAAGTTTGTGTGTTATTCAGTGAACATATCCTCACAAATTCCAACAACTAGTTAATTGGAAGCCAGCTGAAATACACTTCATCTCTCCCCTTACCAACATGCCTTCCTACAGCAGGACGGCTCTCTCGAGGTAACAACCCTACTCTATACCATTTTACGGAGGGTCCATACCAATCAAGTGCTTTGTGCAATGTTGTTTCTTGAAGTTGCAAAGGCATTCGATATGGTGTCACATCAGTCCCTTTATAGGGTTGTTTCTGCTGCAGGTTTTCCTCCTCCGCTGCTTTCCTACTTAAGTAACAAAAATTCCACTGTTCAACTCGCAGACACAGTAATCCGATGCGGGAGGGGGTTTGGCAAGGCAACCCTCTTTCACCGCTTCTTTTTATCCTGATCATTTATGACATCCCCCAGGCCTCACTACCCACGATTGGGTTTAAGACTATCAGTCTATCTTCTGGAAGACCAGAAGATAGACTGCCTGGCCTATGTGGATGACCTGGTTCCCCTGGCAGAACGACCAGCCAGGCTGCAGGAGAAACTCGATTGCATAGCACAAGCCCTCCATGCAACGGGACTGTCCCTAAATCCAGTTAAATCCTTTGGCCTTAACATCGCCAAAGGTGGGAAGTATAAATATATCGCTCTTTTGCCAACTGCCTATACTTATGCAGGTGCTTCCATTCACTCACTGGGGCCAGATGATCCGGTGTGGTATTTGGGCCTCCAATTTAATTGGAAAGGGCGGGTCATCCCGAAGCACACCGGTCTCCTTGAGGGCATGTTGCATGAGTTATCTCAGTCACCTCTTAAGCCCCACCAACAGCTTAAGATACTGAAGTCATACTTGGTGCCAAAGTTCACGCATGAACTTGTTCTGGGTCATGCGCACCGGAATATGCTTGTGAGGCTGGACAGACTGCTAAGATCAGCTCTGTGTGGCTCTGGCTCCACCTACCAAGTCATGTTCTTTTGGGGTACTTCCACTCTCATATTAAAGACGGAGGGTTGGGGGTGCCCTGTTTCTCTACCGCAATACCACTCTTTCAAAAGGCATGGCTCGAGAAAGTGGCCTCAGGGACTCCTATGCTCCCCCCATTGTATTACAACAAGAGGCATTCCGATCGCTTCTGCACCGGATCAACTGGACGTGCATGATGGCCTCTGCAATTGTTACAACTAAGGCGGAGGTCCGAACAGAGGAACACCTTGGCACGATCTATTGATGGTAGAGATTTGTGCATCACTGATGTGGATGGAGCAAGTCATGAGTGGCTGTTGCGCCCCTCCCAGATGTTTCCCCGGTTGTTTATACGGGGATCCAGTTGAGGGGCGGTATACTCAGTATAAAACCTAGGAGTGCACGAGGCTCCAATTGCAAGGTGGTGGACAGGAGCTGCCGAGGAGCCTGCCGAGCCCCCGAGATGCTTAACCATCTGTTACAAGTCTGTGAGACCACCCACGATGCACAGTGCACCCATCACAACCATGTGCTCCGTCATTTGGAACACTTGTTTCAACAAGGCGGAGCTCGATGTTGGGTGGAGCCCATTGTACCATTGGGGCCTTCCTTTATAAAACCTGACTTGGTGGTGGAGTGTAATAAAGAACTATAGGTCCTGGATGTGGCTATTGTCTCGGGATATCGCTTGCGAGAGTCCTGGGACTTAAAGATTGCTAAGTATGGCCGAGAAGACCGCATCAGGGACATTCTGACCTGGGTGGCAATCACCGCTCAGGTAAAACAACTGCTGGTCATCCTATCAAATCGAGGACTTTGCTATGAACCATCTGACGGGGGCTTGCGGACACTGGGCTTGAGCCTCAGAGACATTACAGATTTGTGTCTTTTGACAATTCGCGGCTCGCTCCAGTGCTATGATATATACCAATGAGGAATTAAGGCCGGCCGAACCATGGTGTGAAAATTTGGATATACTGGAGAGCTTAAATGGATTATGACCTGCTGGCAGCAGTGACTATTCCGGCTGGACTATCAAATAGCGATGAAAGTCACCTTGGAGGGCTTGGCGGAAGGGTTTTTTTTTTCTCTTACATTGTCATACCTTTCTAAAAATAAATGCTAATAGCAATGGCAATCCCTGCAGTTCCAGTTGCCATTGTTAAGTAAGGTTGTGCGTTATTCAGTGAATATATCCTCACAACTTCCAACAACTAGTCAATAGGAAGCCAGCAGGAAGTTTCAGGCAGGTAAGTGGCTTCTGCCAATTGGAAGAGGGAGCAAAGATGTGTGAATAGTGGGGGAAGGCACAGGATGAGTACAGTGGGGCTTGGGTTGACTGCTGCCAGGTAAAGAAGGGTGCACAGGGGTGGCCAGGAATGGTGTGCAAGTGACCAGGGAGAGGCAGTGTGAGCATAGGAAGCCTCATGGAGAGTGTGCAGATGTGTGAGATTTAGCCAAACAACTTTTGATCTTCCCTGCCAATCTCCCTTTTGGCTTTGCTTGGGGAAGCTGCTAGGAAAAGTCACAAATCATGATCATGCAGAATGCTATTACAATGTAAGTGCAAACCAGTTGCCAAATGCCCAAATCATGAATGTATGATCACAGAGGTGCTGGAACAGCCAGAATTTAAAGGATCAATCATAATCACCACTTGTTCAGCACCATCGTAACCATTGCTGAACAAGTAGTTATTAACCAAGAACTACCTGTATTGGAAATTTAAATAGAGCTATCTAAATTTAACTTAACAACACTGATGCATTCCTGTAATTCTGAAAAACAAATTTCAAAATATAGTAATGTGTTGGAGAAAGGGAGAGGCCTCTGTGTAAGTGTTGTGAATAGTCAATATGCAGCATCTCTGCCATTCTAACTCTGAAATAGTATCTGATTCTCAATCATTATTCACAGGGATCGTGTTCTTCCTATCATTTATACCAAAGGTAGATTTCTTACCTATTTCTCTTTTCTGGATTTAGAAGATTTGAATTCTTGAATAAAAAGGTAGAAGTCTGGAAATACAGAGCAAAAAGTTACTATGCCTTAGTGCCATTTTCTCAACAACTCTGATGAAGAGCTAAAAGCAACCCCAGAGATCTGGAGAAATGCAGTATAAAAAACAGAGAACTTTGCTTTGAGATTCATGATATCTCTTAAGGAATATGTAACTATTCTAGTTAGACGTTTGCTTTATTATGTTTCTCTATGTTAAAAACTCCCCCCTCCTTTTTCTCTGTATATGGAGTACATTCTGTGCAATTCCAGTTATACAGTAAATCTGATTTAAGATTTACTTTTCTGTCTTAATTTGTTGAAACTTGAAACCTGCCTCTCTCCAAAGATTACTGATATAACAAACCAGCACCACCTTGTGATTTGCCTAGAGCAGTGCATATGTTTTTGTAAACTAGACTTCATAAATCATTAATCATATTTTCAATTTAAAATGATTTTGTTCATCTCTTGTGAGATTGATTTATATCAACCACACAACCCAAAAAAAGCGGTGGGAGGACATGCTTCTATACTACAAGGCCAGGAGAATTCAATGTAGAAATTTTTTTTTTCTTTTTTCTTTACAAGTTTACCTGTTTTTTAACCTTAACACTTTACCTTTTGTTTCATGGAAGGGCAATTTTGATTGTGAAAGTCCCATCTCTTTCACAGACCAGAGTTAGTGGAAAGATGTCAGATGAAACACTTCTTGAAAATTAAGAATTGGGAGCTGTTACAACCGAACAGTTACACCAAGTAAAAGACTGGTAGGAAGGTATGTTGACCCAATGGACTTCTTGGGTAAGAGGACTGAAACCTCCAGCCTTTCAGCCTATGGGCTCAACTGTGATGCTATGATGTTTTGTAAGCTTTAAGGCAATTGAATGCATTCTTCAGTTCGAACAGCTTTGAAATGTAACTTCCTGTTCAACTGTTACGATGTAAAAAAGATATGGAGACTAGATCTTTCTAGAGTGCAGAGAAGAGCAACAAAGATGATTAGAGGACTAGAGGCTAAAACATATGAAGAATGGCTTCAGGAACTGGGTATGTCTAGTTTAATGAAAAGAAGGACTAGGGGAGATATGATAGCAGTGTTCCAATATCTCAGAGGCTGCCACAAAGAAGAGGGAGTCAAGCTATTATCCAAAGCACCTGAGGGTAGGACAAGAAGCAATGGGTGGAAACTAACCAAGGAGAGAAGCAACTTAGAACTAAGGAGAAATTTCCTGACAGTTAGAACAATTAAGCAGTCGAACAACTTGCCTCCAGAAGTTGTGAATGCTCCAACATTGGAAGTTTTAAAGAAGATATTGGAGGGTTTCCTACCTAAGCAGAGGGTTGGACTAGAAGACCTCCAAAGTCCCTTCCAACTCTGTTATTTGGGTTTGTGTTGTTTTTGTTGTTGTTGTTATTAAGTGGCTTAGAAGGAGAAGATATCCTCATCTTCAATACTAGTAATATTACTAATTTAACATTGAACTAATCAGTTTGTCTCTAATCACTTTCATAGAGGGCATTTTCTAGTGCTGAATGAAATGCAAGGGGGAGAGGAAACTCTTGAGGAGTCTTAACTGAAATAAAATATAAAATGTTATCTATAGACCCTCCCAGGCTGCCTGCATATAGAGAGGGAAAAGGGACAACAGCTATTATACAGTATGCAACTATAAACACATATCTTTTTTTAAAAAAAGATACATTTAAAACCCTTTCAAAAGAGTAGTAATACTTTATAAGGAACATATATGATACTCAGATGGTAGTTTGGAAAGCTGCAGAAGCTGGGCATCCTGCTCTCCAGCAACCCAAGCTTCCCAAAATGACCATGAAAGGAATTGATTAGAGAGAAGGAGAAATGGCTGCAGAGTCTGAAGCCACTAATAGAAATTAAGCTGATTGAATACCTATATCAGGTACATCATCACCAGAGAAGTACTGCAACATCTTTGTAAAAGCAACATCTGTGTCAGGAAAAGAGAGAAAAAAACCTACTCTGTAAAACTGGAATTGCTAAATATGAATAAAGCTACCTCTGCAACATATTGCTCTGGAACCTCAATTTTTCTGCTCTTATGTAAATCATCTAAACCATAAAATCTAAACCATAAATAACTACCGTATATAGTTCTCAAATAAATATCTTGAGGATAATGATCATCCCATCTAGGGGGATGGCTGTTGTCATTACTGATTTATGACTAAATATGGTCATTTTAAGAGCTAGTTTGATGTAATAGTCAAGATATCAGGCTAGAAACTGGGATATTGTGAGTTCTAATTCTGCGTTAGGCACAAAATCATTGGATAATCTTGGGCCAATCATTCTCTTTCAGTCCTAGAAAGAGGTAATGGCAAACTACTTCTGAAAGCTTGCCAAAAAAACTGCAGGGATTAGTCCAGATAGACTCCAGGAGTCAAAAACTGACTCAAAAGCCCACCCACCCACCCACCCAAATGGTCATGCATCCCCACAAATGCTTTATCTCAAGTATAATTCATCTCATTGTAAAGTAGTCATGAGATGAATTATATCCAAGAATCATAGTACATTTATGTTGACATTATACATTATGTTGTTTATGAAGTTTTCCCATCTATATACAGGTTGAGAAAGAAAAAACAATGGTACATGATTGCTTCTTGCTATTAAGAACATAAAGAAGTATGAATGCAATCGGGATTGCATTTTTTTTTTCAAAGGATCATCTAACCCTTCTTGTATTGTAAATTTAAGGGCTAAAGTGGCATATTCATTAGATGTCTTTGTGGAGTCAGTCATATATTTATCATTTAAGAGAGTGATGCTATCATAGAGCATGAAAACCTCTGTCCTGATTATTTCCCAACCTCTTCTTTATCCTTCTAGTCAGATTTAATCCCGTCTAGTCAATTTCACGATGCTTATAAAAAACTTGTTTTCTCTTGTCTTGTAAGTAAGTGTATCTCCTCAAGCAATGTTACACACAGCTAGAACTAAATCAGCACTGCAGTTTTGAACTCTAGTATATTTGGCAACTCATGGAAACCATGATAGGAAGTTTTTAAAATTGGCATCCAAATGAGATAAATACTCAGACAGTTTTTGAAATGAAACATTAAAATGTTATCTCCAGATTTTTAATCCAATTCTAGAATTGGAGAGAATTCTATTGGAGAATTCTATTGGAGAGAAACTAATAGTGAAAATGAGGAGTGAGGAGAAAAATAATAAATGGGAGAGAAAAAACATTTAAGAGAGTTTTCAACAAAACTTGTAGTTTATATTGGTGCTGCATTTGACAGGCAAAATTTGACAACAGAAGTTCTTAATTAAGCAGAATTAGCTAAATGTGTATTGAAGAAAGTGAAACAATACCACATGTCAGACACAAATATTGTGGACTATACCTTAAGATTTATTGCTTAAAGCTATCCATAAGAATATAGTCAACATATCTTCAGTACTAAATTGGTACAAAATAAGGATCAATAGAATTCAAGAAGGGTTGGACATAGATCATTGGTAGCAACATAACGACTCTAAGCTCATCATATGTTTAACTCTGGTCTCCAACTCTGCCTGCTCTTCTCTTACACCACCCCAGTAAATTCATTAAATCTAGAATCTGAAATGATTCAAAGCACATATAAATTAAAGGAAATAAAATATATTTTTTAAAAACCCAAGATTTTACACAAACTGACTAGGCTCTATATCCATAGAAATATCGTTCTACTTTCTAGGGTTGCAGATACAAACTCCTATTATGGACCCTTGGTGCTCTCTGAGCTAGGTGGTTTTCTTGCAGATGTTTTTTACCAAACTACTGTAGGTAACATCATCAGTGCTAATTGATGAGGAAGTTACCAACCTTGGTAATGAAACTTCTGCAAGAAAACCATCAAACTCAAAGAGCATCAAGGATCACACGGTTCAACCCTGAGCTACAAATATTCTCTTCTATTGAAACTCTTACTAGCTTCCTAATTTGAGATTAAGAGATTAAGATTAAGTTGAATAATCATTATTCATTACTATTATATATCTCAAATACCATTCCCTTTATTTTTGCCTATACTCAAAAAAAAAATCTTTACTTCTCTGGAAACAAGGGAATTTATATTTTTGCAATTCTCTATTGAGAATACAGGCCAGATTCTATTCAAGCAGAGCCAAAATTGACTATACTATTTAACTACCAATTTCTTTTAGGTCACAGCATTTCTCCTCTTAGAATGTTATCCTTAAAAATACAAATATTGCAAATTCCCATTAAATTGCTTACAGTATAACTATTTTTCTCGTGTTCAAAAGTCTTAAATATCTACCAATCATATTTTACCATGTTAACATTCTCGTGGACTAATCTGACTAATCTCACAATATTGTATTTTGGAGAGCTGAACATTTAATTCTCACTGTGGTTAATTAAAAACCACAATAAAGCTTTCTTTAACTGTTGCACTTTTGCCAAACCTGTGGGCAGTCCATTTCCCCACTCACAATCATCTTTACTTCACCCTCCAAAAATATGTAGCAGATTGTTTCTAGGATCTCTAGAGATCTCATAGGGATTCTTAGAAAATAAGAATCGTGAAAGGAATCCAGTGTTTTCTTTGAAAATGTACCCACCTGACCAGACATAAACTTAAATATTACACAGGTATGGTATTAAGTATCAGGAGAGGGAGAGACATAAAATGAACAGTAAGTGGCAATCCCATTGGTTTGCTTCTTAATAATGCATGTTTTATGGCTGCCCATGCTTTTTACTGTTACCATTTTGTAAAGAGACAAGCTTTTCATAGCAGTTATTTTCTGAGATTGTCCACAACATTCTTCCAAAATTCTCAAAGTGCCCATTGGTCCAGAAAAGACTGTCTAGCTCTGATCTAAGTCCTCAGCTATGCGCCAAATCTGAGAAAAGTTGTATTACATAATTACAGCTCACTTTAAAGGAACAGGACATTGTGATATTGGCTTTGGGCCTGAAAAAAGAATTGCAAGTATCTCTTACTTTTCACTAGCCTTTGGGCATCAAAGCAATTTGAGCCCTTGTAGAGCCATCCCATAAACTGGAGTCCTGAAGCCACTTGTTCCATATTCTCCTGAAGAAGGAAAAAACTGGCACAATGAATTATTTAGAGTAAGCACAGAATCTTTAGAGGCCAATCTTCTCAAAATAAAATTGATAGATCCCTATTTCAACAGTTTAAAAATATTTTTTCAAAGAACAGAAAATAAACAATCATGTTTTCACACCGACATTTGTTTTATAAGACATCTATAGATGGAATATTAGTTCAGTGAGTGAAAACATATACAGACAGAACAATTCCCAAAGCAGACATTCCCCTCTGAAGAAGCCTGACGAAAGACAATTCTTTCTTTGCAATTTCTGCTAGATTTAGGCTCAGAATTTTTTTTTTTTTTTTGCCATATTAATATTGGAAAGAGATAAATTTCATTTCATTCAGGAATGTGAAATATGGCAAGAATTATGGGATCTCTGAGTAATCACTGATCTCAAAACCTATTAATCAGGACTCTATTGCCATCTCTGAAGCTCAGGGCCAAATAAAATATCAGAGAAAGAAAGAAGATGGATGGGCCTAATCCCAGAACACAATTATAAATATGCTATAGTATTGAGAAAATAAAATGTTTCAGATGTAGCTAAAGAATTTTGAACATTTTTCTGAAATGAAATAAATACATTTTGGTCATTAATATAATAGAGAAGACCCCAACTGGTATAGAAGTGGCAGATGGTGCAGACAGAGGTGAGCAGAGCCAGGTAACAGGAGCAATTAGTAGCTTTTGGGGGGGGCATCCAAAAGGCAGTTGTAAATGTGGGTAGGCCTGAGTTATTTGCTCATGGGAGCACTGCAAAGGTCGGAACTTTGAATATCAGTGATAAGTTCCTTAAGGGGCCTACCCACATTTACAACTGCCTTTTGGATGCCATCATAACTTTAAACAATTTTTGGATAAAAAGACATTGATAGCCTTCCTTTAAAAAAAATATTATTCCCTCTTCAAAGATTTATCAACAATTAACTCATGTATTTATTATTTATTCCTTTGTTTATGATAAACTTATGCACAGATATCATAGGTTTACCACAACCAGACCAGAAGTCCTGCATCAGAGGTGGGAATACTGAAATACTCTCGGCAACCTCAGCCTCAGTAAACACGGTCATTGAACTGTCTTTTGGTTGTATGGGATACTGCCTTTATCTGCTAATGCTAGATCTGTTAAGGATTGGGGTTTTTTTGCTGACCTAAAGTATACTACTACAAACCAGACAGAAATGAAAAATGGAAAATAGATAAATTCTGTCTGTTGCAATTTTAAAACATTTCCATTTTGCAATTCTCATAGCTGTTACAGACACAAAAATGGCAACGAGCCTGATTTTCCTGGTACAGATGCAGATCTGATGTTATATTAGCCAGCTTCAAAAATGAACAGGTCAGGTGGCTTTAATACAGGAATGGGTGATTTTTGCTGTATCCAGAGGCTACATTTAACATTTTTTTGGAAATACCAAGATACACTATAAATAGGAGGATAAAACCAAGTAAATGAGACTGTGTTACGCCAATAAAAGACACTTCTCTTTTTCTTATTTGAAGGGGTGGTTATACTGATATTATTTAAAATCTAAGCTTATTTTATGGCCTTTAAAGTTTTCCTCCCAAAATAGGAAAACTGTCCTGTTGCCATACTATAAGAGTTGGAAGTCACTGAAAAGAGCTTTGGATTCACATATAGTCCATATGAATTTTAATGTTTTTTCATGAAAACCAGAAGTAAATGATAGAACTGGGAAAAAAATGCTAAAACTTGTGCACATGACTGCAGAAGACTGCAAATAGCTATAAATGTGAGCCAGATGCCAAGTGCCCAAAATACAATCATGAAACTCTCTCTCTCTCTCTCTCTGTGTGTGTGTGTGTGTGTGTGTGTGTGTGTGTGTGTGTGTGTGTGTTTGAGGGCTTGCAGTTTTTGAAACTTCAAAAATGGGTCATGAATAGCTCTGGGAGGTACATCATAACTTTGAATAGTTATTAAATGATCAGTCATTAAGCGAAGACTACCTATAGTCCAACCTACATTACAGTCACTAAATACTTCTATATGCAGATGTTTGTTTGCCTGCTTTCATAAATGCTCCTGAATAGAAGCATAAATATCAGGGCAATATAATCTTTTCAGCCAGTGTGTCTCCAAGGTCTCAAGAAGAGATCTTTCTTTGCTTTGATATGCAGCTGAGTATAAGATTTTTTCAGTGTTAAAATAGAAGCCAATGCTACCTGGGGGTGGGGGGTGGGGAGTATCAATGTTAATAATCACAGACGTTTTATTGCTGCCACCACACCGAGAGCTAGAGTCAATATAGATCAATAGATAAAGCATGATGTCTGGATAGGGAAGGCATAAATTTCCAGGTTCAGTTCTGTACTGTATACGTTAAGACAATATAACCCTAGCTCCCAGAGATTATCTTGCAGTAGGAAGCAAAACTTCAGCTTTTTCAGACACATACAGAAGGCCACTCCCATAGCTCTTCTCCATTGCAAATATTCGTTTCTTGCATGCTGCAGATCCAAAAACCAAGAGTCTCCACATTGCTTTTTTACTCCCTGTAGACATTGGCTGGATTGAAAAGACTATTCCTGCTTTTTACCTTATTCAGTGACTCAGCCCACTGCGGTGTAACAATGCTATTTCCATACCTCCCCCACCCCTTTTCCTAGTCTGCTTATGTCTCATATGAGGCACATTCAGCTAAGACAGAACTAGATGTTTGAAATAGGGACAATTAGAGGATCCATCTATCATAAACATTGACATTCATCTTCTCCCTTGCATGTGTCCTCCAAATCTGCTCGTTACACAAACTTGATCCAAAGGACCATCAAAAAGAGATTAATGGTTGCAGTACAGTGGAAACTGTCTGAATCTCTTTATGGGGCTGCAGAAGTCATCTGAAGATACTGAATGACTCAAATGCCACATGGTGTCAAGTTATGTTTGGCGTTCTGGAAAGAAAAGCATGTCAGATCAAGTCTAGCCTATAACAAATCAAATAGAGTAGGGGTGGGGGACCAGAGAAGGAAGAAACGATTTCCATGCAAATAAGACTTTAAGCTATTCAAAAGTTATCAAATCTAGATAATCTGAAGCCATATAACTCCAAGGGTGAGCTGTTCCAACTAATAATATTTTAGTGTGAAATGTGGTAGGTCTCAGCATATAAACTTTTAACAAGGAAAATTTTATCTCTGGGAGATGCTCTTTAGTTCTTGCAAAAAGTATTGCTGAATGTTGTTCTTTCTAAGTGAAAGGTAAAGGGAAAGATGTTCATGCATCCACAGGGAAAGAAAGCATTCTGCTGGAACCAAAATGTACTAGGTTCCCTATCCTCAATTCCAAAATATGGTCCCTAAAATCAACAGTTTTACCTTATTCCAATTTAGTTAAAATAACTAACATTTGTAAAATTTAGAAATCTAATTCATGGGGACTTCCGGCGGTGACGTAGGGCTGTGGCGGCACAGGAGAGAAGCGCTCTCTTTCTGATGCCGGTTTTCTGAGCTTTTGGTGCCTTTCCTGGCGAAGACCGATCCTGGAGAGATCGGGAATAAAGAGGGGAAACTTCGGGGGAGGCGAGGAGAGGTGCAATCTCCCGCCGTACCGAGAAGATCCCTCAATCCAGGCTCGGGAAGAAGCCAGCTGGCGCGGCGAGTGCAGCTGGCCCAGAGGCTCGACGAGCCGATTGAGACCATCGGGAGCGGAGGAGTGAGTACAGTGCAAGATTGCCAAGGGTGAGCAGAAAGGGAGGATCGTTATTTTGGAGTAAAATAACGCAAAATCGAGGAGGAAATACTTTTCTGGAGGAGCAGCACGAAAAGAGAAAATCTCAGAGCGTAAAAGGGGCGGCAACTGAAGAGGCGAGCAGAAAGAAAGAGGACGGGACATAGACAAGCGGAGAAAGAATAACAGACTTTAAAACAGCGAAAACGAAGGTGAGGAGAGGTGGATTTAAAGTACAGAGATTTAAAGAAAAACGAACATTCTTTGTATCCTCCTTTTTTTGGGCTGCTCTAACGGAAGGAGAGAGGTAGTTTGGCAAAGAAAAAAAAACTGCGGACTGTGACTGTGCAGATTGGAGATCGCCATATTGAAACAGGGAAAGATTTCAACGTATAAAAGAAACGAGTTGCACCTCTCCTTTGTTGAAAATACGACGAAAAAGACTCATAGAAGTCATAGAAAACTGAAAATATATTACCCCTATATAATCCTCTTTTATTTAAACATGGATAATCGCTATTGCTATATTTATTGGAATTGATTAAGAACTATAGTGATATTTGTTTATTAATAAATAAATTAGTATATAACAAACTAGGATTTATAATAATTGTAGTGCTACAGAAGTAAGTAGTGGAAAGTAATTGATTTTGTAACAGTATATAGATATAAAAAAAAACATATATTCGTGATTTTATGTAATTTAAGTATTATAATGATTAAGAATTGATTAATTGAATAAGTCTGTGATTATCTAAACTACATATTTACATATATCTATATTTATTCATTTCTATTTCTACTAATTACTTAGATTAACTTATATTAATATCTATATTGTAATATCTATATTATATTTAAATTTATATTTTTATTGCATTTTTTACGAAGTATTTTATAAGAGATAATTAACCAGTTAAAGGAACCTTACTTAAAGAAAATAGATAAAGTGAATGAGAGATTATTGAATTGAATCTTTATAAGGGAAAAGGAAAGGGAAGAAAGAAATTATACAAAAGTTGGATGGTGATTTGGGAGAAAGTTGATAAAATACTGGTGGAACAATATAGAATTTTGAAAGAGATGACGAGTACTACTACGACAACGTTGAAGACAGGGAAGAAAATGACATCAATTTTAGCTGGACCATCGGCCTCACCAGTATCACAGAAAACCTTGGAGGGAATGTTCGCATCAGAGAAACAACCCAGTACACCCAGTTTGCCAATGATGCAAGCTACTTTAATGATAATCCAAGAAACAATGGTTAAAATGCAAGAA